CGCACACACACACACACACACACACACACACACATCGTAAATCGAGATAACAAAAAAGGCAGGTTGGACTTTGACCTAAAATACTTGGATGTGCGTGGGATGTGTTTACTACAATACATTATTATGCGCCATGCTTTTTGTGAAGTACCTCTCTGTCCTTGTTGTGACACAGGTGCGCACCGTGCAGTGCTGAGCGCTTTGGCCCTCTGCCGCGAAAAGAGGAAAACGCATGTTCAACTCAAAAGGGGGAAAAATAATTATTTAATCAACTAACTGCAGTCGAAACTAAATCTAACTATGGTCCATGACGGATACCCATTGTCGAGAAGAAAGTGGTTTTCTTAGACAGGTGGACATACCGGACAGTGAAGTTACTTTTCATTGTATTTAATCTACATGTGTATATATTTAAAAAACGCAAGAGAAAAATGAAAAGTGGCCGTTTTCACTGGTGATTGTATTGGACAGGCGGCTGTTAGAACAGGTTCGACTGTATAGTACAGTATATATATATATATACATTGTACATATGTATATATACATTGAACAGCTGGGGTATAGTATCCCATAACCTCTGTTGGTCTTGTGAGGCAAGGTTAAAGCAGTTTTAAATTGTCTACATACAATAACACTAAACACATGATATGAAAAATGTTTGAATATGTTCTTATTGTGCAGAGGTATAAATTATTTTACTTTTAACTAGGGACATACTGAGGAGAGAAGAGAGCAGAGGGGAGGGGAAGAGATTTGTTATCTTCTGTCACAGGCAACCCAAGGGTTGACTCATCTACAGGAGCATAAAAGCAAAAGGCTGAAAAGCTTAAAGTTTATGAAAGGAGTCCATTGAATATTATGAGATAATAACTAATACTTGATTAATATTTCTTACAATATCGTATGGTCATTTGGGAAAGGATCTTCAAATGTAACGTTCATCTCCGACTCGACAGAACCAAGCGAACCGGGATTTGTTGTGTAAAGTGTGTAGCATGCAGGAGACCAGAGTTCGATTCCCGAGTGGGGATAAAGTCTTAAATCAAGTATCACTGTCTTTCTGCTCGGATGTATCCCTCTCAATCCGGGTTGTTCCTGGGAGACAGGAGGAAGTCTGCCTCCTAAATGGTCTAAAGTTCGTTGAAAGGGGCGTAAAAACATCTACACTACGAAAATAGGTAATATTAATAAAAATCCAAGGGAAAACTCCTCTGAACAACCCAATTTAAGGACGTTTCATAGGAGATTGAATTTTGATGAAAGGTCATCCACACTGTGACCAAGTAGTATGACAGCAACTAAGTCAGCGGCGGGCTCTGACATAATATTTAAACAATATTCAAGGTAGATTTAATCACAACGCAGCAATGAGAATTACAACTATAAAGCGTGAAATGGAAATATTATATCTAATAGATAAGACACTGTCCAGAAGAATCGCTCAATAAACGTGGCAATAAAGGTTTCAAAAATAATAATAATGTATTTCAGGTACTCATGAAGCTCTACAGTAATCGCCGACACCCACTGGTCAAATTTTAATGGACCTACTGGTCTGCGTGAACAGCCCAGATCGGGTCGAGTCGGGTTGAATAACGGTTTCGCCAAGGCACACTATGTCAAACTGACCTGTACTTTGCTTTATCAAATTTCATTTTGACACCGAAGTAGCCTTGTGATTGGTGGCTTTCACTTGATGTATCCAACGTATCAGATACAAATGGTGTGTAAGAAAAACAATCATGTTTGATAGGGGAGAATTTGATCAAATTATGCCAAAATGCTTGCCTTTGCTCTCTTCATGAATGAAAACCTGGCCACTGATAGATAATAATAATAATAATAATAATAATAATAAATATCGTTTGTATAGTGCGTAACCCAGGGGCGGCTCGTGGGGCTAAAAAGGGGACGTGCACAATAAAGCTATCGCATGCTGAAGATAGTCAAGGGCATGGTAAGATCTTTGGGTTGGTGAGGGAGGACTTCGTGCTTTTATTTTCAGTCTTTTTAGTTGTCGCTTTGATTTCTAGTACTAAACTTGTTTGTTAGCTAAACATCAATCTCTTTCATCCTGTATTGGAACTGAACACTCTAGTAATAACTTTCACTACTCCACTACAAAACCATTCAAAGGCACAAATCACATGACGGTCACATTCACCTCCCTCAGGTTCACGGTCACAGAGTCACTTAAAATAGTGGCAAGACAGACAATGAACCAATCACAATTCACTTGAGCACTCAGCTGGATTGCTCCGGGGCTTACATAATATTGGCAAAGAATCACGCACGGTCTATCGCATAAAATTTTTAGACTGCCTACTGCGGGCTATGTTTCGGCACTCTTCGGCAGGAGCACATTTGAGATGTGCCGTCTTATTAATATTAATGTACCGTCAAACTCGCTACAAGTGTCGTCATCGCTTGGATTATCCCCAAGAGCGATTTATAGGTCAGGTTACACTGTTGAATATCCTATTATGTTTAGCTAAAGTGTGAGGACTTTGGCATGACATAGTAGATGTTTTATGGCGCTTTTGACACAGAAATGACCGTTATAGCGCCAGTGAGGACCTTGTTTTGATATAATATTTGGCTAGTGTTTGTTTCTGGCTTCGTTTATTTTATTATTGTGGGTGTTTTACGTGAAACAACATTAAAAAATTTTGGGCAGCACTGCACGACCGTGCTCTATGGACGAACCGCCCCTGGCGTAACCCCTCTCTACAGCGAGCTCTATGTGCTTTACACTACATATTATTAACCCAGCAGACCATAGAACACTCAGAAACGTTCCCAGCTTCCAGGGAAGCATGCAGTGCAAGCAGCTGATCAAGGCGCTCAAACACTAACAAACTGACAAGTTCTTTCACTGTCTATTAGCTGGGTATCCATTCCCACCAGGGTGAAATGAAAAAAAAAATAGTGTAAAGTGTCTTTCCCAAGGACACCACGTCGGGTCCCTGACGGGATTCGAACCCATGACTTTACGTCACCGACGCCACTGAATTAATCAGATGGAGATTTAACGAAATTTGAACTGCGGTGTGGACCTGCCCTACTAAAAGCTATTAATGAATAAGTGGCTGCTCCAAAGAAGCACTGGGGTACTTGCCCATTTTTCCAGCTTTATTAAGTTTAAAATATCCAGTAGAGTCTGTAAGGCTGTATATTGCCCAGGTGTTGTAACGTTTCGTTTGTAATTTCATCGGGGCCTGGTGATTTTCTTTGCTTTCGTTGATTTATTGCTTTCTTTAGCTTTTCCATGGTGATGTCCTTCTTCATTACTTCCGAGATGTTTTTTTTGCCCTTGTTTTCCTTTTTTTCTCTTGTCTGATTTCCTTTTGTCTGTCGCTTGGTATTTTGAAGTTGCTCTCTTGAGCATATGCCTTTACAAAGGTA